ATCTATCAGCTGTCGCTCGTTTTAGCGACAGCTACTATATCTTTAGACTAGCAGTTAAGAAATTGAGACTCGCAAAACATCAGAAGCTAAGAACTTGAGCACCATTTGTGACCTCGGTTAAGAACCCCACACTAAAACCTATATATCGGCCATTTATAGCCCACAAGAGGATGATCAGCAAAATAAGAACCCCAGCCTCGGCAGAAACTAGAGGTTCTTAAGTGCGGGCGCCATCTGTAGTATGTACTGTACTAAACCGACCCAAGCTCTGTTCGGCTGGGAATTGAAAATTTCGATTTTCCAACTGGATTTTTTCAAACCGCAAGAAACTGCCTGAGTATGTTTTGTTGTGGTTCAGGGATGGTTTACTTTTTCTTCAGGTTTCCTGGAGACCCCATGTGATTGCGAAGCAGACCAGCTCTCAGATCTGATGGATATCCGTTGATAGGGAGGGGTGTGCGGCGACTCGAACATGAGCGGTTGTTTCTTGCTGAGAGCCATTATTGATTTTCAGGGGAGCTACATAGTCTACATGCTTAACACCCGCACCCCAATCACTGGTTTATTCTTCAGGTGCAAGGGGGGTTCTTCCCCCGACGAACTCTCTCGAACACAACCAACCCTCCACGCGCCTTCCGCGTGGGTAGTACATGGTGATACTACACGTACGTGGCAATCATTCAAGTAGCAGTTTACCCTCCTTGGTCCATAGCTAAAATATGGTTTGCATTGTTACACTGCATTTCCCTCTGTTTCGGAGGAGTCGCCAAAAGGGCGGGTTTGTGGGATATGTATTTCACACGACGAGGGAAAAAGAGAACTGTAGACTTTCGCAGCATGAAGAGGTACTGTAAAAGACACGACTGAAATCAAAGCGCCCGCCAAACGCAAAAAAAGACGAGCAACACAAAATATGGTCATCGCTCAAGGGGATGCGACGACCGCAGCAACACAAACCAAGAAGAAAGAAACCTCGAGCATCATGTTCAGTCAGTCGTACCGCGCTGCAAAGTTTCACGGAAGACTCAGCAGATAGATGACGATAATTAGCATGTGGTCCAAAATAGGAGTAAGTCTGAACTATCAACCGTTTCGGATCCGACCGTGTAGGTCATGGAATGGAATGACGTTGCTTTTGCAGAGTGGGGCGAACATGCAGTTAGTTCGTGAGCATTGGTAAGAGTCTTCTACGACGCGCATTTAATGAGGCTGCGGGCAGGCTGCTGATGAAAGGTCCTCGAGGGATCTGTGCGGGCCCGATATAGTCCACTAGGCTACAACAACAGCAGCAGCAGCAGGTTGTCCTGGTTGGAAGAAGACAGACAGCAGTAGATGCGTGCGAGAGGAGTCCATGCCAACAGCCTCCAGCGGTGTGCACATATCGTAGCAAGCATTGCTACAACAGTAGTAGTGTATCTGAACAGTAAGTAGTCCAGATAGTTCATGGTTTATTTCTTCGTAAGAATGGCCTCTTGGGTTCCCGGACATCCTGCCTAATTGCTGAAACAACACGAACAGACACAATGGCCCGTCGAAAACGTGCTTCAAGCAACAGAGTGCGTTGCAGGTTGCTCGAATTTTTTCACGCTGAAGGGGCAGCAAGTACGTGGTCCCGGAATGATGCTGGTTCGGGTAGTGAACTCATCAAATTCAGACCTCATCACCACATACATCTTCATGCCTTTCCTCAGATTTCGACCCTGAAGAATTGCACATGTCCGCTACTTCGGAATAGTAAATTTGGTCCGTTTCGTCATTGGCGATTTAATGATACATGTCCCACGTCGTTTGGATAGGCCTCACTCGCATGCATGCACAACCAGACCCGCCGATGTGCCAACAATCCGGAACAGCGGAGGGCGTCCACTTTCCATCTCCAAGATTTTGCACCAAACAACTGACCCAATAGGGCACCCCAAATACAACAAAACACGCAAAACTGAACACGAGTTTGTACGTTCACTTCGGCGTGGAAACGGAAACATACAGTAAGCAATAAGATACTGTAACACTACGGTCCGGGTTAAACCTTTTCGGTACAGGTTCCAGGAGGGTCCTTCGGAATTCCTTACAAAAACACATACCATGGAACGTGGATCAAGGAGCAACACAAGCAATCCATCCTTTGCGTGCACATATCTAGGGGAAGTTGACGTGTGGGATTTAAACCAAGACTGTGTTGAGGCCTACTTGCCCCCAATGCCTTCTTTGAAAACGCCCAACATGCCACCGACGATACAACAAGACGTCGCTTCCTGAACGCGACGAGACAATAACTCTTGGTCAAAACAACAACGACGACAACTTTCCATCACCGTGTACTGGTTTGTGCTGAACGGCAGTCTCGTTGAACAATATACTTCGTTACACAGTTCAAGCAACACCCCTCAAGCTTGACTGTATTGTCGGGTGTGGCTCAAAATAAACAAGGGGCATGATACCCCACCCACCATGCCGCTTCTTTCGACAACAAGCCTGCTTGACAGGGGCGGTTGTAAGAAAACAAGTCGCTAAAATACAACACAATATAATACCTACAATACAACACATGGACCATTCATTTACCGACTCATGTCATAGTCGAGGGCAAGAGAACCCTCACGGACGACTTCTCCAAAACTACCCACACCACCCACCCCCGCACACTTCAATCCGCGTCGTTTCATGTACGAAACAAGAAAAAAGAGGCTCTCCAACAAACCATTCCGCGGCGTTTGATGTACGAAAAGATAAAAGGAGGCTCTCCAACAAACAGCGACACAAAATTCGAACTAAACCTAACCACGTACACCTTGTCACGACCTTGTCTCTGTGGCAATCGGAAACTCCACCGCAACAGCAGATGCTAAAAACATACTTTAACGATAAACTGACTGATTTAAAGGTTTTTGTCGGATGGCCCTTCCTCCAAGCCCCCTGCCGCTACTGTTGCTGTCGCTGACAAAGCACGAGCATCTGCCGTGGACTCCGATCCCGGCGGCGGCAGCGTGACTCTTTTGCGCCCGGTCACCTGGTCCATCTCGTCCTTGACGAACCCGGCGTTCTCTAGCCCTCTCACCATGTACACGTACACGGGAGTCACGGCGAGGAGCGCCCAGGGGGTAAAGATCCACGCGAAAACTGGAGCGGTAGGAGCAGCAGCAGCAGCAGCAGAGGAACGCGTGTGCGAAGCGCCGTGTCATGCCACAGGAGGCATGTGTGGTCATTAGGAAGATGGGAGAATCGATCCCGCCTTGGCATTATTCCTGGTGTACCATTCTGTCTTTTCTGTTTTTTTCATCCAGCAGGTGCATGAAGGAAGCTTAACCGCCGGGGCAGTCAGAAAGTGCTGAGGGGGCACCAACACAAAGGCAGTTGCAATTTCATTAAGGACTACACGAAGACAAGATACGTGCGGGCACTATTGTTGGTCGCGATATTTTCACACGCGCGACCATGACGAACAAAAATTGGCAGTTTACGTAGTTGTGTCACATTTGACTCCTTGTTTTGGCAGCAAGGTGCAACGAAATTCTCATCATCCTGCAACACGGCAGTGGGGCGGAATACCACACCTACCTGGAATAGTTCCGAAGTACAGCCGGATGCCCAGGCTGAAGTACTTGTGGGAGTGCTCGAATACGTTGACCAACATTGCGTGAGACATTGGCACGCCTTCGATCTCTGTGACTCGAAGAAAAAATGCAGTTAATTTTCCGCGTGACGTCAAAGTACAGAGGGAGAGGAGAGAACTTGTTGAGCGCTTGACATCGGACCTTGACGTTTTCTGCGCTTCTTTTGCGAGACCCAACGATAGAGGGGGGGTAGAAAGAAACATGAAGGTGACCTTGTGATAAAAAAGTGTGCTTGCAACATCGTGCTTAGTCCTGTGGGTGTGCCGAAAGGATTTGTGCAAGCACCATAGAGTATCCCCCTGTCTGGTCCGCTTCCGCCGTGCCACCCTCCTCGCGGTGCCGCTACAAAAGTAAAGCTTAATAGCGCCGCCAAATGACGAAGGGCGCAATGGGGCAAGGCTGCTGTTCATCGGTTCACCGAATTCTTCTGTGTGAACCCGGATCGGACTCTCGTCAGTCGGAGAAGTCACAGAGGAGGCAAAAACGTAGGGAACGCAGGAACTGCTCGTACCAAACAACAGCTGCACTCTACGCCAAGAAAAAATGAAGCAAACATGGCGATCAAGAGCGCCGCTTGCGTACAAGCCTCTTTGAGTTCGGCAAAAGCAAGCTACCGGAGCACCGCCGATAAGCGCCGTCTCTAAGCAACCCCTCTTCCACGTAAATACACATGAAAACATACTTCGAAGCACGTGCTACATACACAAGTACACACACATTTGAACTTGCCCCTGGTATTGATGCAAAAGCTGAAGTGCACAGCGAAGCGAGTGCACTGCGTCAGGACGAAAAAGTTCACGAGCAGGACCGCCGAGAGGCAGCCAAGCTTGATCACGAACAGCCAGTCCTCCGGGGTGCAGTCGTCGTCGTCAGAACAGTTCGTGTAGATTGACCCTGACTTGTTGGTCGGATCGATTGGATGGTTTAGATGGTATGAATTAGTCGAAGCAAAGCTTGAACTGGATGCGATGGGCTTGGTCCGACAGGAATTGGGGCGTGACTCATGTGTGTCTCAACTAGTTTTCGGCCGTGGCTTGGTGAGCGGTTCGGCAAGGAGAGGCCGGTCCCGACAAAGCTAGCAAAAAACGTTCCTCCCGTGTTGTCGCAACCCGAGGGTACAATCATGAAACCCAAACCCGCAAGCTGCTCGCGCATCCATCTTCGGAACTGCTGTTCTGCAAAAGAAGGCCGTGGAGTGGATGGCGAATCCACTCGCCTGCGTATCCTACAGCGAAGGTGGCGAGAGTAATGGCGGTATTGGCCATGAACACGGCCGACTTGATGTAGTCTCGGGTGGTATTGCAGGCCGCCGTCCCCTTCATAAATTGGTCCTGCGGTGGTTCGAAAGCGATCTCCTTATTCGTCGGCGTGTGTGTTTCCTCGAAATCAGATGACTGGTTTTGACGTGGGTGTAACATTTGCATTCTGTTTGATTCGCTGGGGCATCATGCATGGGTTGGTTAAAACATCGAGGCTCTTGCTGGACTCGATCCGACAGCGGCATGATCCCCCAACGTTTAAATAAGGCACACCCATCCTGACCTAGCCTGCCTGAGAGTCTCATCGAAACCATACTAGATGGCACCTCACAAGCACAGGCGCACACATTCCACACTACCTCCAGCACGCAGAAGGAATGCTTCCCTTGCGTGTGGTCCAAACACCTTTGGCCCTTACAGACGTGTTTAAAACAAAACGTCCCGACTTCGTTTCCCTCCCCTTCGATCCGCAGGGCAACAGAAACGGGTTACGTGGTCGCAAGTTTAAGGGTTTTTGCTATCCTATTTCAGTTACATTTGATTCAGCAGAAATACACAAGCAAATGTGCACCCGCTAACCTTGACCCAGCCAGCCCTTACAGCCTTGAAAAGGGTCCGAGCCCGCGCGGGATCGTCATGGGAGCAAAAGAACTCCCACGTCTGGAAGCCGGCGCAAACCGCGAAGCATATCGCTGGTATCACGACCTGGAAACAAGCACGAGACAGCAAAGTGGAGATGGAGGAGGAGGGGAAAGCGAATCAAACATGAGGAATCAACATTACGGCCAGGAATGATTGTTCGCAAGGCAAAGCAAGGGTGCCGTCAGCCCGCACGTCTAAAATTTAGGCACTTTTTGAACAACTCCCGGGCACGGAAAATGGCGATCACCTTGTTGATAAATCACGTGAACGTCGTCCACTACGCCACAGTTTTCCTGGCGACATCACGCGAAGAAATCATCACGCCTTGCGCGGGACAAGATTCTTGACCCTGCTCGCAACATGCTACTTGGAAAGGGCGGGGGAAAACTCTTTCTGTTCGTCCCCTCCCATTTCAGCAACAACACAGCCAATGATAACGTTTCTTCGTAGCACGCCGTTTTGAGACTGCGACGGCGGTGATTTCTTCGCCGGAGCACAGCAAAACGAGAGAATGAGGGGGCGCTGTTACCACGGCAGTAGCTCGAGTGTATCAAGATGTAATGCACAGTAGTTTTATGTGGACTACAATGATTCACATAATGTTTGTAGGAGGCAGCTTGCAGGCACCAAAACAAGTACTTCATAGATTTGGGAGGACCACCGCGTACCTGCTGTCGAAAGAACGTCTCTGACAATGAACAATGTTTTTTTAACTGTCCTTTGCACAACTTTCCTTTCATGCCGGGCTTTGCTTTGTGTCCTTCGAGAGCCTGCTGTGTGCTTTGAGAGCTCTCCACATAGCGATGATGCGTGCTGTGAGTGCGGAGCATGCATGTAGGGAACGTGCCAAGCGAGCTTCCTTTTTCAGACGCCAAGCAGCAGACTCGTGGATTTTAACGAAGGATATTCGTCAACGCTAAGTGGTATGCCCTTGTTGTCTTTGTAGAGACTGTTAGACCTCGAGATTAGACTGCTAACGACCAGCAAATATCGGCATAACAACCAGCCCAAAAAACATTTTTTTTTTCCTGACTCGGTGGCCGAAATATTATTGTCTTGGATTGAGACCGGGATTTAACAATCAAAAGTGCTGGCCCCAGGTGGAGAGTTAGCGCTTCAACATTTACAACATCTGTCTACAGATCATACTCTATGAATCACCCGGTTTGGATTTTTTGTCCGCACCCCGGAAGACTGAGAACATACGTTTTATACTGGATTTTATAGGCCTTTGGCCAGGTTTCTCGTTTTTTCCCGTTGAGTTCGAAAAACTGAACCAGGTGATCGCTTCCTTTGGGTTTTGCGCACACACCGCAACAAACCGCATCCCGATCCTAGCTGTTGCGGTAGAGAGATTGCAAACGCCGCAAACTGCTCGTCTTGCGTGTTTTCGGCCATTGCGCGAGGTGCCGCGGCGGTCCGTCACCGACAAGTTTCGGTAACGGATGTGTAGCATTCGGCGGTGCCGTGACCGGACTTCTGGCAGGCGGAAATGCACAGAGAGTGAGCTGTACCCAGCTCGTGCATGTGGTGAAAAAGAAGTCTCGGGCTTGTCCAAAATATTGTGACGTGTCCGCCCATCCTGCTGTTTTGATTGGTTGGAAAATATTTTTAAAAGTCTATTTGGCTAGCGACCAAGGACATTTTTTCGCCCTGAAAAACTTCTAATCTCGAGGTCTAACTGTAGTGCTTGATGTTTAGATGCTTGTTATCTCTCACACCCGGTTGTGGGGAAAGAGCAGGGGGTGCCACACACACGACAGCTGACAGCAGCTGGCGTGGGGACTCCGCACAATCATTCTCTGTTCGTACTACCCAACGCATACCTATGTGCAGGGCACCTGAAACAGTCATCTCGTCTACAGATCCGACTACATACGCACTCACACGAACACCTTCCCTGGTTCTTTACGCAAAAGTAGCTAACCACTTCTGTGGGATGAGTGCTCCTGCCACCTCAAGTCAGGTTTTTCTGCAAAAACAACAAATCAATAAAAACCTAAGGGGAAACCCGGCCACCGGGTCCACACACCTCCCTCCCAAGGATGGTACTACGAAAATGCAACAAGACGCAAACAGGATAACGTAATCGATCCGGGTGACCTTCCCGCCACGTATCAATATCACGTTCTTCCTAGTACCCAACAAAGTCCAAAAAGTCTGCAGCCACTGCCACGATTTTACTACCACAAAGCCCAAACAAAAGTCCGCTGCAATTTACTCCTACTGCCCTCCCCGCTCGACGAACAACTATCGATGATCTGAGCATCTTACTTCCTCCTTCCCCCTTGATTCCGGCGCTTCGCGGCGCCCCCGGGGTTGATGGTGTATGCTATCATCCTGGGACAGCTGTTTTGTCAAACACATCAAGCATGATAAGCCTTCTTGCATACAACTCTTACTCCGACTCTCAGAAATTCATGTTTCAGCCTGCTTACACGCAACTCTTCGACTCTCAGATAAAATAAAGTTCCAATTCTTAACCGCCATACAGCACGCGTCGATATGGCTGCTCTCCCTCACTCGGAGAAAACTGCGGTCCATCATGTCGTGCGGTAACCTCCCTCGCTCTTTGCTGCGAGTGGTACGCCACACACAATGCCTCTTGCATTCAGCGCTCGCGGAAAACACGCCAGACTATCTACTGCATCGAGAACTTATCATTGCTGAGGCTTCCTTTCCTCCTACAAGACAAACACAGTGATTCTTAACAAAGGGCTTCTCCCCTTCTGCAAGACAAACACTGAGATATATTGTGGAGACGCCTTGCTACTGCGAATCCCTCAATAAGGTGAATACGTCTGGTAAATGGGTCCACACCTACCTGCAGCAACAACGGAACCAACAACAGTGTTCTCCCCTCCCCATTTCCACCTCATGTTGACGCCAGCACAATTTTAATAGTTTTTTTTTGAAGAAAAGTGGCCCGATAGGGACGTTTTTGAAAAAAAACAGCTGTTAAGAGGGGGGGGCAAAACGGGCTCAAGTAAGTCCGTCTGTCTGTCTGTCTGTCTGTGACCAGCCTCGACATATTACCCAGCAGATTCCAGCCCATTTCACCATCTTGGCACCAAATTGCAATCTAAGACGTGTTCACAACAAGTAATATTTTGCACGAGCTGTCCCAACTGCTACCTTTTCAATCCGTGCTCGGTGCGTCGAGATAGTGCAGCGTCGGTACCCAACTTGAAGCAGGGAAGTTTCTGATCCCTTGCAACACCGAGAGGAGGCGTCGTTTGATTTTGAACCAAGACAGTTGGCCTCGCACACCACACACCACACACATAGAGCCAGACATGGACAAACAGGGAGAGGGAGACACAGACCATAGCGAGGGCGAGACGTCGGGAGAAGGGTGTGCCATACACTGCTGCTGTTAGCTATCGACGGAGGAAGCCAGAGGAGAGATCAACAATTGGCAGCAGCAGCAGCAGCGGCCTCTTTCTCTCTCTTTCCGCGGAGAGGGGCACATGACACCAACAACACACAGACGCTGCTACGCACCACCATTGGTGCGACATGTACTGCTGTACGCCTCTCTACACTTTTGTGCGCGAAGGACTAGTGTGCGACCAGTGCCTCCCGTGCTAGCCTGGTTACCCATCACACGCTTGAACGCTTTTGAGATTTCTCGATCAAAGCTCGAACCAACAAGGGAAGCACAACAGCAGCGACATTTTTTTTTTCCTAGTACATAATATCACACAACAAATCCATTTCTATCTCTAGAAAGAAGTCGAAGATAGATTAGCAACGAATCCATAGCGTGAGCGAAAGCTACCTGTATGTCTACGGTTTCCCAGACAGCATACAACGATATCTTTGTTTTTCAAGCTGCTAGCCCTATTTTTTAATACACCACACCCTTCCATCCCCCCCGGAGACCCCTCCATCCCCCCCGGAGTACACCTCCCTCCCCCTCCGTGTTTGTCATCGGGGTTGGGTTTTCGTCGCTTGGCAACGAAGTTGCAAACAAGCCCCCCCCTCGGTGTTTGCGGGATTGGGTTTTCGTCGCTGGGCAACGACGTTGTAAAAAAGCCAACTCACTTCGTGAACTTGGTGAAGGACACCCTGACTCTCGAAGTCATGGGTTCGAGTCCGTGTTGAGATGTCTTTTTTTTCCTAAACATTGTTTTTTCGGGGTCCATCACATTGATTGGCGCCCCCCAAACCTCAATCAATATATTGTAATACTGCTGTGTAGTAAACGGGCCAATGGTAGCATCGCACGAGCCTACTGCAGGTACGTTTTTCAACACAAAACTATTCCACCTCCCGATCTAGTACCTGCGCCGGTGTCTGCAACTTTTGATACACCGGATCCTGTGTACCTCCTTTTTTTCAGCCGACGCGCTGGATACTGCTGTTCTACTACCCCTGTGCGTGAGTTTTCATCGGCCGCGGGGAGCGCCTGTGCTGCATCCCCTCATTTGGTACGCCTGGTCCCGCGTACCCCTTCTCTTCAGCCGACACGCTAGATACTGTTTAACCTCTGCGCGTGAGTTTTCATCGGCTGCCGGGAGCGCCTGTGCTGCATCCCCTTATCTGATACACCTGGTCCTGTGTACCCCTTCTGTTCAACCGACACGCTAGATACTGGTTTATCTTTGTTCGGGGGTTTCATCGGCTGCCGGGAGCGCCTGTGCTGCATCCCCTCTTCTGATAAGATAAACACTGATTCAGACTGTCGAGACGCCTTGCTACTGCGAATCCCTCAATAAGGTGGATACGTCTGGTACATGGGTCCACACCTACCTGCAGCAACAACGGGAATGTCACCAACAACAGCAGTGAAAGGACTGGTACAGGTTCCCCACACCAACAAAAGAAACCCAAGGGTAGTAGTATACCGGTCGCAGCGGATGGATTAGAAGCCATCTCTGTAGCACGTCCAACTGCAGGCGCGTTGGCTTACCTCCTGCAAGCTGACTCCATCCACGACCTCAACCATGGCCCTCGGAATGTTGAACTATCGTCGATGCAATGGTCTACCCGGGCGTCTGGCAGCTGCTGCCAACACCCCACAGCAGTGTGTCACGGCTGTGACAGGTTCCACCAGCGGGTGCTTTCTAATTCTTATATGCATGCAACGTCGCTAGGCTGGCGAGTGATAAGCGGCGGGACCGTTTTGAAAACTCGTCGGGGGGTAGGCCTTTGCTCCATCGACCGTTTTGTTTGTATGACGGAGAATAAGAAGGTAAAATTACTTGAAATTAGTATAGAGCTTTATTTCCTTTGCATCGCAAGGCATCCACGGTGTGGAACATCTTCTTGCTCTGCTCCTCTGGCCAATGACAGAGCCGTATTTGCTCTGCATCGCGCGCGCAAGAGTGCATCGAGCCGCATCAGACCGACCTGGCATTTCTATCATACTACTGCTGTGTCGTTATCCACCCTGAGGATGCTCTTCTCTGCGACTAGTCGGCAGAGATGCTGTCTCAATGAGCCAAATAAAGTGTGTGTGGCACATGCAAGGGGAGGAGAAAGGTGAAGGAGTGAGAGGCCATGTCTAGTGCGACGGGCACATCGGTCGGGCAGTCGCACGGCCGGAGCGTTCGAGCGCAGCTATCTTCTCCATCGCCTGCACAGAATACGGCTTGCTTCCCGCGTCGACCGCGTAGCCTATGATGGTCAGGCTCTGTGCTGCTGCTAGTCCTGGTTAATGGATGGACTTGTTGCTGCAGCACAGCAGCAAAAGCCTCAGAGGTGAGGAGTTGAAGAGGTAACAACGCACTGAGACTTTGGCAGCTGCTGATATATCATCTACTCTGTAGGATAGATACATGTACAGAACCGGCCCGCACGTAAGAACCTCTTATTTGGAGCGAGGCTCGCTTCTTGTTGGCTGCCCCAAGCCGAGCACAAGTTCTTATTTGCCAGGTTCTTATTTCGTCGTCCAGTTGTCTCCAGAAACGGTGTTCTTGTTCTTATTTCATCATCGATTGCTCAATTGGTGCACTACTCAACTGCACTCGACGCAGAGTTTCATACCCGCAAACACCCCCCCATGGGGCAACTGTCAACCGTCTTGGTCCACAAGAGTGACGTTGGGGGTGCGTACCCTTCCCGCCCTACTGACGCTCTCAAGCAAAACCCATGAGCCTACCGCCGCGTCCGGATCTCCGCTGTACTTGTCTAAGGGCAGCTTCATATTGCGCGTACTGTGGTCTACTTCCAGCTGCACACAGTAGTCGTACAGGTGGCGCTGCGGAGATTGCTGAATGATCAACCCACCGAACCACCCCATGCCCAGCCGAACAAACACTCCACGTTGCAAAAGCAATCTGTCAAGAGCAGCGGGGGTAGATTCTTGAAGG